TATACTATTATTATTTTTTAATACAAAATTGAATGAACCTTAATTTTATAAGGGTTTGAAATCAAACTCCACAACGCTCAAATGAATATTCAGTAGTACATTATCGATGATTCAATATTTTACATTTAATAGTATTCACTTTTTTTCTTAAATGAAATAATAGTAGTAGTTACTTGCATCGGTCAAGCTTTTGGAATTTTGTGGTCGACGTAAAAACATGTGCATATTACATACATATATTTTCTCTACTTTTGAATAATATAGAATGTTACAAAATGTTCTCTACTTTTGAATAATCTTATACATTTTCTCTCATAATTTTCTTCTCTTTCATGGATGCCATCAAATATTCTTCTCCCACACTATCCTCCTTTGATTTCTTTGCATGACTTCGTAGTGTTAGGTCAACATTTTTCTTGAGAAGCTGCTTAGAAATAGCCTCCCTTGGATTCAATTCAATACACATGTGTCCACCACCAATTCTCAAGGGAGTTTAATAATACAAACGGAAATGAATGCGAAACTATTGAAATAAGACCACTTTATTCATCGTAATATACCATATGTTTAATACAACGGTGCTAGCAAAATGACTGAGACACAACCACTTTGATTCATCGTAATTATATTTTTTTTTTAAAACATTTTGAAAATATTATTCGAGTATGTATTAATTGTTTTGGGTGGATACTCTTCCTTGGTTTGCTTGTTCTTGTTCGCTTGTTTCATCTAATGCTAACTCTCCTTTTATTTGGGACCCCACATCAACTTTGTTTGGTCTCCTCAAGGTTTTAATTTCACCTCCTATATATAAACCACATACCCATGCATTAATTAGTACTACAAACACGACCAAAAAAAAAATATCAACATTGATACCCCCAAAGAAAACATTAACAAAGAAGTGATCATCTAAGCAACAAATTAATGGGTTCTTTGAAAAAGAATGGTGGTGCGATTCTGTCGAAGATAGCGACCAACGATCAACATGGCGAGAATTCGGAGTATTTTGATGGATGGAAAGCTTACGACAAAGATCCTTTTCATCTTTCTCGCAATCCCCATGGGATTATCCAAATGGGTCTTGCGGAGAATCAGGTATGTATACAGTATACATAACAAATAAACCATTAAAATAACATATTTATGCCCGAGTACGAATTCTCGTGTACTAGTGTGAACATGTGATACATCATTTAATAAAATTTTGTTTATATGATTTTTACAGCTTTGCTTGGATTTGATCAAAGATTGGATCAAAGAGAACCCAAAAGCTTCTATTTGCACCCCTGAGGGTGTTCATCAGTTTGAAGATATCGCTAATTTCCAAGACTATCATGGCCTGAAAGAGTTCAGACAGGTATATAAATAATTTATTATTCATATTTAATCGTATTTAGTAGTATCGTTTAATTTGGTATATATTTTATGCTAATATACGCCATGATATATGGATACATAGTCTAGTCGACAATCATATAGGGTCCTAATCCGATTTATCGATTTTTTTTTTCGTTTTTAAAAAATGTAATTGTTGGTTTCATTTCCGGTTCGTAAATAAATATACTTTTATCTTAAAAAAACAGAAACGGTCAAATAATTCCCGTACTGTTGGTTAATATAGATTTAGTTGTGTTACATTTGGTAAATATAAATTAAAGCTTATTTGATTTTTGAACCAAATTTTTGGTAATTGAAGGCGATTGCACATTTCATGGGAAAAGCAAGAGGTGGAAGAGTGACGTTTGATCCGGAGAGGATAGTTATGAGCGGCGGTGCCACCGGAGCCAATGAAACTATCATGTTCTGCCTTGCCGATCCCGGCGATGTTTTTCTCGTTCCCTCCCCTTACTACGCCGCGTAAGCATTTTTTAATATTTTGGTCATATATACTAGTCACATTTTAAAATAATTAAGGTTTTTGTTTCAAAACTTTCTATAAAATTAATAACAAAACATAGGAAGAAAGAAGTCTAAGAATCTATTTGTTCTCTTTAAGTTTAAGTATAGTTAAGAAATTAATTTAATTTCTCATTTGGTGGAAAATGTTAGTATATGATTATGGATAGTGTGAACAGTTTATAGAGAAAGAAAAAAGTTCGGGGCAATTTCATTAATGTAACACTCACATACTTTTTGGGTTAACAAATTTCAAATCGAAATGTGTTAACTCTCACGTACGTATCAAGTTTTGACTCTTTCACCTATATCACACGTGTAAGGTGTATCAATTTAACTTTGCGGGTTTTATTCAACGAGTAGCTCATACGTGTGACAATCATTAATAAATCTTTTCTTTTTGCAGATTTGATAGAGACTTAAGGTGGCGTACAGGTGTCGAGATTATCCCAGTTCATTGTTCTAGCTCCAACAATTTCAAATTAACCGTCGAGGCCGTGGAATGGGCCTATCAAAAAGCCCAAGAGTCCAACAAAAAAGTCAAAGGTCTGATTTTGACCAACCCATCAAACCCACTCGGTACGATGTTAGAAAAGGACACACTCAAGAACTTAGTCCGGTTCGTCACGAGGAAGAACATTCATCTAGTCGTCGACGAGATCTACGCAGCCACGGTCTTCGCCGGAGTAAATTTCGTGAGCGTCGCCGAGGTGGTCAACGACCTGGATAGCTATGAAGTCAACGTTGACTTGATTCACATTGTCTATAGTCTTTCTAAAGACATGGGACTTCCTGGTTTCAGAGTTGGTATAGTCTACTCTTACAACGACTCGGTCGTATCATGCGCAAGAAAGATGTCCAGTTTCGGACTCGTTTCGTCTCAGACACAACTCATGCTTGCCTCGATGTTGTCTGATGATCGTTTCGTGGAGAATTTCCTTATGGAAAGCTCGAGAAGGTTGGGGATAAGACATGGAGTTTTCACCTTAGGGCTCAAGAAAGTAGGGATTACTTGCTTGTCAAGCGACGCGGGTTTATTCGTGTGGATGGATCTGAGACATTTACTTAGAGATCGTAACTCGTTTGAGTCTGAGATCGAGCTTTGGAGAATAATCGTCAACATAGTTAAGCTCAATGTATCTCCAGGATCTTCCTTCCGTTGCACGGAACCTGGGTGGTTTAGGGTTTGCTTTGCTAACATGGATGATGATACACTCCACGTGGCGCTTCAACGGATCCAAGATTTCGTGTCCAAGAACAACAACAAGATCAGTGAGAAAGCGTCGGATAATAATGACCAGATTATTCAGAACAACAATGCTAAGAAGCAGAAATGGAGGCAGAGCAATCTCCGACTAAGTTTCCGACGACTTTATGAAGATGGACTCTCGTCGCCGGGGATAATGTCACCACATTCACCTCTCCTCCGAGCATAAGAGATTGGATTAACCCGTCCTTCTTTCACCCCAAAGTATTAATTACTCTTTAATTAGTAAGTTAATGTTTTTTTCTTTTATTGTAAGTTTGGCATAATTCAACTTCAACATTTGGGTTGTTTTTTTTTTGACTGCCAGCTTTTTTTCTGGGGTCAAATGGTAACTTTTAAGATTTGTGTGTTTTTTCCCGCTTAGGATTTAATCGATGGATTATCCTAGTGGTACTGGTGTGTGGTAGTTTATCCTTTGGGGGGTTTTATTTATCTTCGTGTGTAATAACTATGATTAAAATAAATAAATATTTTGTTGATAATTTAGAATTGGATCTTAGTTGGGGAGGTTGATAATGGAGGATTTGTTAAGCTAATTAATTTATTCAATTTTTCTAGAACCATACTTTGTTGTTCACCCAATACGTCACACGTGCATGCATGCCACCATGCC